ATATAAATAACATAAATGAATCATCAAACTCCCTTGCTTACCAGCATGAAAAATACCAGGAGAGGATAGAAATGTCCCCTTCTATAGAGTAGAGTCATTTAGAGTCTGAGGGTACTATCAGTGAGTTAGCAATATATACAAAGTTTTCCTTCTGGAATGGGGCCAAAGTTGAAGTTTCCTCTAGTGCTGCCTGGGGTAGCACCACCTGAGTTTGGGGGACAGCTTCCAGTTGGGTGATTTTAGGACTTCCAGTAATAAAATCCAGAACTGAATTTTGGGGAAGAAAACTAGTAGGTTCCAAAGGATGTAATAAAAAGCTATCATGTGGAGAAGGTGATTCTTTTGGTTCTTCGATCCTCATGTTTTTGGTTAACATCTTTGTTTTCTCTTTATTAATTGTAAATCCAGCTAACTCACCCAAATCCTTTATTTTTTCCATTACTATTTCTATTCCTTCCAAAGTATTTTCCAAAATTATCATCCAGTCATTGGCAAATGCCCGTAATTTATTTGTTTCCCATTTAATCCTCACTCCAAGAGTGCTTTCATCTTGTCCTCTGTCTCTTTTCAGTACTTCCAGAGCTAAGATGGATAAATATGGTGACAGGGGGCACCCTTGTCTTGTCCCTTTCTGTATCTCACAAGGTTTTATTAATTCTCCATTTACAATTATCTGTGCCTTTTGTGAAGTATAAATTGATTTTACCTATTTAATAAAATTCTCACCAAAGTCCATATCTTCCAAACTTTTAAACAAGAAAGTTCAGTCCTGATTGTCAAAGTTTTTTTCTATATCTAAAAGATCAGTGCAGCTTGTTTTTCATCATGTTGTTATAAATATTCCAAAATGTCCAATACATTTCTCATATTAACTTTCAACTGTCTTTTGGGAAGAAGCCACGTAGATCTTCATTAATAAAGTCCTGTAAAATGATTTTCATCCTTTCAGCTAAAATAGTGGTAAATAACTTATAATCATTATTTGGTAATGATATTGGGTGGTAATTTTTTGGTAAAGTCAAATCTTGACCTTCTTTATATTAATGTTATATTGGTCTCCATCCAACTGTCCAGTAACTTTCTACTCCGTAAATTAGAGTTCATCATTTTGGCAAAAGTTGTAGTAATTCATCCTCAAAATCTTTATAATAAGAGGTCATATGGTCCAGGCACTTTCCTTATTTTAGCATTTTTCATAGCTTCACAAACTTCCTTGATTTTTATAGGTCCATTCATTATATTTCTGTTTTTCCATAATCTTTGGTAAGTCTTGTTTCTTTAAATATTCATCAACTTTTGCCAGGGAGATTTCTTCTCCTTTATATATTTTAGAATAATATTGATGAATATTTTTTGCATTGTCTGTTATTATAGTGTTTCCATCTTGTAATTTGAATATAATTTTTTCTCTTTTTCTTTCCTTAATTTTTATGCCCACCATTTCCCTGGCTTGTTTGCAAATTCATTTTTTTTTTTTTTGGTTTTTCCTAATTAATTTTTATTCTACTTCTTTTATTGTAAACATGGACAACTGCTGCTGTAAGAGTTTAATTTGGTGGGAAATAATTTTTTAACCTGGGGATTTCTTTAGTTCTTTCATATTTTTCTCATCTATAATTTCTTGTGTTTTCTCTTCGTTTTAAGTTTACTATTATGTCGTATAAACTGTTCCCTCATAAAAGCTTTACTTGCATCCCAAACCTTCCTTATGTCAGTACCTTTAAGATTATTTTTTAAAAAACTTTAACTTCCTCTTACATCTTCTACTACCGTTTGTTTTTGTAACAGTATTTCATTCCACCTCCACCTGAAAGAACTGATTTTCCTTTTAAGTGCTTAAGTCACTGGACTGGGGTCTGAAAAAGCAATATCTCCATTTTATGAACAGTAGTAGCCAGATGACTAGAAATCCAGAACATATCCATTCTTCAAAAAGTTCTTTTGGAAAAATAAGCATATTCTTTTGAACCACCATTTTTTTACCTCCATACATCCATACATCTACAAGCTGTAAGTTATCCATCGTGGGGAAAAAAATCGGCAATTTACCTTGTGTTGTTTTAATGTCTTCCTCAGAGGTTCTATCTTTTTGTGGATAAATTACTCCATTCCAGTCTCCCATTAGACACCACTTTTCATATGGTAAGTCCATTAATTAATCCATAAGTCCTTTATAAAATGCTGCTTTGTCTTCGTTTGGGGCATAGATTCCTAATATCAAAGTCTTTGCCCCATGTAAATTAATTGCACCCTCACATATCTACCATGATCATCAGTCAATATCAGTTCTGGTTTATATTTATTTATTCATTGATATTTCAAATTTAGTCACCACCCATCTCACTGGTTGTAGCTGGGGAGTTATATACAAGACAAATCAATTTCTCTTTTTAATTCCTGCTGAAATGAACTCTTCAGCTAAATGTTTTTAAATCAATTTTTTAATATCCTTTTCGAATATGTGTTTCTTATTGACAAATTAGATTCTGTTTTTATTTTTTTTAAATAATGAAATAATTTTCTTCTTTTTTGAGGAGCATTTACTCCATTTATATTCCATGTTGGGCATTTACATTCCATAGCTAGGCCAGAAATTTAGAAAAGTCAATCCCTATCAATATCAATTTCTTGTTGTTGCTGTTGCTTAGTTATTTCTGTCATCTCCATTTGCACGTCTTCCATTTCCTCTTTAATTTTTTTCTAAAAATTCTCTTGCTTTTTGCACTGAATTCAATGAGTAACTCTGCTATCTGAATGTGAAAATCACTCCTTCCAAATTGTCCCATCGGAATGGTTGTATCCTTTTTTGTTTGAGTTTATCAGTAAAAATTAAAAAAAAATGCTCTTATGCAATATTCATATTGGGATTTCTTTAAGTACAATCACATCTGTCCTACTGATTTTCAGTCAGTAAAATGCTGCTGCAGAACTTGGTCTCTAGTCCTCTTCCTGACAAAGTGCAAAAGAATATCCCTTGACACATTTCTTAATCTTGCAGATTGTGTATTAATCCTATATACTTTGTCCATCTCCACATTGTTGTCTTCTTCATCCTATTCCAAAAATTTTGTTAAAGTTTGAACAAACTTTTCTCTGGTATTTTCTCTAAGCTCTTCTGGGACCACTCTAAATCTCAAACAGAACTCTCTTTCTCTCAGTTCTAACTCCTGTTCCATCTCTCTGTTTATTATTTTTGTCTTGCTTTCTAAAATTTCCACTTGGTCTTTAATTTGTTTTATTTCTCCATTCAGCTATCCTACAGATCCTTCAATTTTTTAAACTTCTTTCACTTCCTCTGTCCTCTTTTCAAATCTTTCTTCCATTCACCCTTCAAATTCCACTAGCTTTTTTTTTACAAGATTCAGACAAATTCTGCTCTAGTTCTTCAAACATTTTTAAAAAATATTTCTGGAGTATTCCCCTTTTCTGCCAGTTGTTCTAGCAATCCTCCCCTCCCTTCACCAAGCTTTGCCACTTTTCTGGTGGTCACCATGCTTTTATTTGTAATTCAAAAGTGAAAGTGAGTCAATCACAAAGGTTAGAATTAAAAGGCAGGCTTCCCCCCCGCCCGCCACCTGTTTTTCCCTTTTCTATACCCCTAAGGCTTTAGTCCAATCTGTCTCTCTGTAGTTTTAATCACACAGTTTTCTGGGTGAAATTTATAGTGGACCAGATGTCTCTGAAAGAGCAAAGATGATGCTGTGGTGGTGAATGGCAGCCAGCTGTGGTTTGTGGCTGGCTATCTCCCTGGAGAAAGGAGAAACCGAGAGATCATCCACCTGCACCCTGGACAGCTGCTCCTGATGAGGAGACCATGGGAATCGAAGTCTTGCGGTCTTCCATGAGTAGAGTGACTGTGGCATGAGGAAGAGACTGCAGGCTTGCACCCACAGCACAGCCTTTTTAAGGACATTAGGTTCGCTCAAACCCTTACTTTCTTAAACACTTCCATATATAAGCAATTTACAGTTAAAGAGAGGTCTTTGGAACAGTGGGAAAAGAAAACCACCACTTGGTGAGTCAGCCTTCCTTCCAAACTACAGAAGAAAAAGAGGAAAATAATATTTTTAAAGGCTTTAAATTCACAGCAAATAGCTTAAGAAGACTTTGATTTAAGAAAATTATAAAAGGATAAAGGGGAATGTATAAATGTGACAGGCTAATATTTTGGCGAAAGTGCTTCTGATGTTTGGAACTAATTAGATAAACAGACCAGACATTCATGGGGATGTTGATTGTTTGACATCAAAGGGAAAAGACAACTGGTGGACTTTGCAAAATAAGGAGGCAACTGTGATAGGAGACAGAAAGACAATGGGGTTTTAAAAGAACAAATAGGTAGTTATGCCAGGAGCATAGTCTACTTTTTCCTTTGGCTTTCCCAGGCTCTCTTCACCTCCCAGTGTCAGCCCCACGAAGCAGGCCAGACCAAGAAACAGACCCCACAGAAGTCTAAAATGGCTTTTTAAAAGACGGACCTTTTTAGCAGAAACTTACCAGACTGATTGTCATTTACCTCCCCTCCCTCTTATACTCAAGTGAATCAAGGAAGAGTCTGCTTCTTAGAGCTTAAAGAATGCTTCATCCATAATGGTTCTTGGATATTTCCCTGTGGGAAAATGTGGGAAGGGTACAATTTTCATAGCATAGATTAATGTCACTTCCACATAAGCTATGATCTTGGAAAGCAAAGAATGGTTACACCTGTTTAGAGTATGAATGGGAGACCAACAATCACTTTGAATTCCCCAACAACATTCTTCCTATGAACCATTTTGATACTCAGAAGAACAGTTGAGTTTTATTTCTGTTGATAATTGTATTTCCCCTTAAATTGCAGTGTCCTGGATTGTCCTCCTAAACCATTCTCAACGTCTCTTAAACAAGCAAACACTTTTTGCATAATGGCACAACAATTTAATTTTTCTGAAGGTAAGACCAGCACATAAACTATATTATACAATATTTTCCTTTCCTTTGTGGCTACTACTGATAAAGAAGACCTCAAGTGTTCAAGATGCGTAATTAGTTTCTTCCAGAGTTCAAACTCCAGCACTAGATCACGAGTCCCCATTGTTTTTTCCCCTGAAGGTGGGGTGCGGGATGATGGGAGAAATGGCATTTTGAAAACATTCAGTGGGTGCATTCACAAAATGTCTGCTGAGGGAATTACTCATTCAAAAAACAGCTCTCCTGGAGAATGTAAGAACACCAGTGCTCTAATACCTGCTGCTTCCTCTGGGCAACATCATCCCAGAATGGTCCTTGGAGGGACAGAAGGGATGAAGGCAACCATCATGTCCTTTAAGAGAACTTTCACCAAAGTTATGTTATTGGAAACCCAGACACATTTCTAAAAACACATTTGCATTTTTGCTGCCTGGTGTTATTGACCGTCATCATGACCTTACTGTAATTGCTTCCCTAGGTAGTGCAATGATCTCTGAAGAATATTCCCGCCCCAATGATACTTTGCCTCCTGACTCTCCAGTGTAAGTATGCTATGGTACAAAATATTTTCCTTAGAGGAAGGAAGGCAGCCGTCCAACTGTTTCATAATATTCCACAAGCAAAAATTAAATATAAATAAGGATTGTGTGTATGAAATTGTTATGGTTGTACTGGACTTGGTTTCTCCTATTGTGTAAGCCTGGCTTCAGTGTTTCTATGTGTACAGTATGTGTGTTTGTGTGTACTTTGGCTTTGCAACAATTGAGATTTGATTTGCAAAAATTGTTTTGGAGCATGAGAAAGTGCCTGCGTTCTGCCTGTGTACAATCTGGCAAAATAGGTACATCTTTCACCTTCTGCACAGTCTCACTAAAAGGCAGATTTGTTTTCAAGGGCTGCTGATGGTACATCATGTGCCCTTCAGTGTGCTCCAAAGGACTTTCTTGGAATCAAATTCAAAGTGTTGCACTGCTGTAGGGTTTTCAAGTGTGTTAGAAAAAGAGTTAGGAAGAGACGGGGGATGAAATGGGAGAGACGCTGAACATTAAGTGGAAGAGATGGGTTTTGTAGGAATCCATTAGAATCCCTGCCCAAGAAAAGTTACATGCATTACAACCTAACATTTAAACCCTAAACACTCATCCTTGCTGCTGCTGCTTTACTCAAGTATTCAAGTCACATGGATGCACACTTTGGCATTAGTCCTCCTCTCCCTGCACAACCCCCACCACTATAGACACTAATGCAATGAACATATTTCTGAGTTTTTATAAGATCTAAATGTAACATTGATTTCTTCAGCCTGCATCCACTTGAGAGCTGAATTATGTATTATTTCAGGGAAGAGTGGCTTTTGAATCATGACAGGCAGATTTTTTTCCCCACTACTGGAAAAGAAACTCTGGGTTTCTCTGCACACAATCTGATCTCTCTCAGGTATTTCCTTTATTCAACATTTGGTGGAACATGTGGAGAGATCAAAGTAGCTACTCCTTCTCCCCACATGATCTGGAACCTGAATAAAGCCAATCTCTAGATCACATTAAGAGGGGTACCTGAGTTCAGGCCATAATAGCAGCTGTTGCAGATTTTTCCCTAAAAGCACGGAGTTGCATCATTATTCCTCTCCTCTTTCCTTTTCAAATTCTCCATAGAGTCCTGAGAATGTCTGAATATACAATGAGGAGAAGGACTGAAATTCAAGGCACCCACCTGACCACAGGCAACTGCTTTAAATGGAGCCCATCCATAGGCCCATACCCTTTTTTTTTTTTTAACAGAAAGTTCAGCAACCACATGTTCTGCAGAACTCTAGAACTGTACCTTCTTTTATACTCAGCCAGAATGGCTAATAATTGGTGGGAGTTCTAGCTCTCTAGCATCTCATGGACTTCTAGTTTAAAAGGTTGGGTCTATACTGATGGTAGCAATTCTTAAACCTGTGGAGTCCTTAACCCTGAGCTACACATATTCTCTTCTACTGGATTCTTAAACCTCACATGGAGAGAGTGACTTTACTGCTGTACTAAAAAGCACACTTAAACACTGATATCTGTAAGGAAAAAAAGGGAGGGGGGAACCATACCATGTATCTAGTTCTGTAATTAGAACTGATTCTCTTTTGGTCACTTTCTGTTAACAGGAAACAGGACATGGCTCCATCATTTACTAAAGTGTCTTCAGAAATTATTGAAATTAGGGAAATTTTTGGAATCCCTGCTTCTCCAGTTGATCACCTGTTTGATGATTTAACACGAAATCTTATCAATGCCTACATTGCCATTATCTGTATTTTGGGCCTGCTAGGAAATGGGAGGACAATTTATCTTCTGACTTATTCCGTTAAGAGGAATTCTTTCACCACTTACATCCTGAGTCTCTCCATCGCTGATTTTGGGGTCCTCGTATCCCTCATTATTGCGGC